TTGGCTGCTAACCGAAAGGTTGGCAGTTCAAACCCACCAGCCTGTCCGTGGGAGAAAGAAGTGACAGTGGGCTTTCATAAAGATTACAGCCTTGGAAACCCTATGGGGCAGTTTTACTGTGTCCTGTAGGGTCGCTATGAGTTGGAATCGACTCGATGGTGAGGGGTTTGGTTTTTTTTCGTTATAGGGTTGCTATGAGTTGGAATTGATTTGATGGCAATGGAGGTTTTTTTGGGGGGGTGGTAGCCTTAATAGCATACATTAACTCTGTACATATTCATCTTTATCTGCCCGTTTATGTTGTTATTGTCACGAATTATGTCCTTATACATTACATGTCTGTTAACATTAGTTTATAATTATCTTTTTATGCTTTTGTCTTTTAATGATACGTTGTTGTTGTTAGGTGCCGTCAAGTTGGTTCCAACTCATAGTGACCCTATGTACAAGGGAATGAAACACTGCCTGGTCGTGCACCATTCTCACAATTGTTGCTATGTTTGAGCCCATTGTTGCTACCACTGTGTCAGTCCATCTCGTTGAGGGTCTTCCTCTTTTTCGCTGATCCTCAACTTTACCAAGCGTGATGTCCTTCTCCAGGGACTAGTCCCTCCTGATAACACGTCCAAAGTACATGAGACGAAGTCTTGTCACCCTCACTTCTGAGGAGCGTTCTGGCTGTACTTCTTCCAAGACAGATTTGTTGGCTCTTCTGGCAGTCCAAGGCATATTCATTATTCTTTGCCTAACACCATAATTTAAAGCCATCAATTTTCTTTGGTCTTCCTTATTCGTTGTCCAGCTTTCGCATGCATGTGAGGCTATTGGAAATACCATGACTTGGGTCAGGCACACCTTAGCCCTTAAAGTGACATCTTTGCTTTTTAACACTGTAAAGAGGTTTTTTGCAACAGATTTGCCCAATGCAGTAATTCATTTGATTTCTCGACTGCTTCTTCCATAGGCATTGATTGTGGATCCAAGTAAAATGAAATCCTTGACAACTTCAATCTTTACTCTATTTATCATGATGTTACTTACTGGTCTACTTCTGAGGATTTTTGTTTTCTTTATGTGGAGGTGTAATCTCTGCTGAAGGCTGTAGTTTTTGATTTTCATCAGTAAGTGCTTCAAGTCCTCTTTGCTTTCGGTAAGCAAAGTCGTGTCGTCTGCATATCGCAGATTGTTAATGAGTCTTCCTCCAATCCTGATGCCGCATTCTTCATATACTCTAGCTTCTCAGATTATTTGGTGAAAGGATGCAACCGTGATGCACCCTGATGCACACCTTTCCTGATTTTAAACCATGCAGTATCCCCTTGTTCTCTTTGAATGACTGCCTTTTGGTCTATGTACAAGTTCCGCATGAGCACATTTAAATATTCAGGAATTTCCATTCTTCACAGTGTTATCCATAATTTGTTATGATCCACACAGTCAAATGCCCTTGCATAGTCAATAAAACACAGGTAAATATCTTTCTGGTATTAAATCATATAGGAAACAAAAAGGGAGTTAACAACCAAAAGTACAATAATACTAGCTTTTATATTTACATATTTAGTTACCTGTACCAGAGATCTTTATTTCTGTGTACGGCTTTGAGTTACTGTCTGTTGTCCTTTCATCTCAGCCTGAAGGATATGCTTTACCATTTTTTGTAGGACATGTCTAGTAGTGACTTTCTTAGGTTTTGTTTATCTGGGAATGTCTTAATTGTTCTTCCATTTTTGAAGAATAATTTTGCCAGATACAGGATTCTTCATTGATGGTTTTTTTTTCTTTCAGCATTTTGTGTGTGTGTGTGTGTGTGTGTGTGTGTGTGTGTGTGTGTGTGTGTGTGTATCTCCCACTGCCTGCTGGCCTCCGTGGGTTCTAATGAGAAATTGGCTGTTAATCTTACTGAGGGTTACTTGTACTTAGTCACTTCTCTCTTGTTGCTTTCAAGGTTTTCTCCTTGTCAGTGGCTTTTGACACTTTGATTAGAATGTGTTTCATTTTGAGTTTACCCTGCTTGTAGTTTATTGAACTTTTTGAATGTGAGCTTTTTGAATTTGTGTCTTTCACCAAATTTGGGAAATTTTCATCCATTTTTCAAATATTTTTTCTGCCCCTACTTCTTTTGAAACTCCTGTAATGTATATGTTGGTATGCTTGATGGTGTCTCATAGCTTCCTTTGGCTTGCTTTATTTTTCATTTTTTTCTTTTTCCTTCTCCTCAGACGGGGTAACTTCAATTGTGCTATCTTAAAGTTTGCTGATTTTTTTTCTTCTGCCTGCTCAAATATGCAGTTGAACCCCTTTAGTGAATTTTTCATTTCATTATTTTACTTTTCAACTCCAGAATTTCTATTAGTTCCTTTTTATAATTTCTTTTTATTGATATTCCCTACTTGTTCTGCTTATGTTCATTAGTTCTCTTGTTTATGATTATCTTTAGCTTTTTGAGCATATGTAAGACAGTTAATTTAAATACTTTGTCTAGTAAGCTTGATGTCTGGGCTTTCTCAGGGATGATTTCTGTCAATTTCTTTTTTCCTATCAATTGGCCATACTTTTCTGTTTCTTTATATGCTTTGTAATATTTGTTGTGAACTTAACATTTTGAATATTGTGATGTGGTAACTATTTAAATCGTATTCTTATAGTCTCCCCCATCCCAACGGATTGCTGTTGCTGCATATTGAGGACCTCAGTTGTCCATTTGTTTAGTGACTTTTCTAGACTATTTTTGCCAAACTATATTCCTTGTAGTGTGTGGTCATTGAAGTCTTTGTTCCATTATCTCAGCGGTCATTCATTGTTGTTGTTATTAGGTGCCATCAGGTCCATTTTCGACAGAGTATAACTGCCCCATAGGATTCTCTAGGCTATAATCTTTATGGGCACAGATTGCCAGGCCTTTTCTCCTGTGGAGCCACTAGGTGGGTTTGAACCACAAGTCTTTTAGTTAGCAGCTGATTGCTTAACCATTGCACCACCAGGGCTCCTTGACCATTCATTAAGAAAAGCAAATAAAAAAAGAAAAGAAAAGTTATTCTGTTTCTTTAAATTCTTTTGACAAATACCTCTCAGTTAGTGGCTCCAGGCAAATGGCCAGTGTTATGCTGGTTCCTGAGTGAACTTCCAGGAAGATTAAGGCACACAACTCCAATTTTTGGAGGACAAAGTCCTTATTGCCCATCTGACACCAGAAAACCATACCCAGAGCGCTGGTCGCCATTCTCATGGCTGCCTGCCACCACTCTTGGGGAAGCAGGATAGTAGCTGCTACAGGAAACACCAAAATTCCGCAGCCTCTTTCTTCATCAAGTCACTCTCCCTTGTTGCTGCAAGTGTTCTTCTAGACTTCAGAGTTCCACAGTAGTGTATTCTGACAGTTTTTGCCAGCTCAGTAGTTGCTTTGGTGGAAGGATCATTTTCAGGAGGTTCTTACCCTGCCATCTGCTGTGGCATCTTATCAGGGCCCTGTATGATCTGGCAATACTTATCTCTATAGCTTCATTTTACACAAATCTTTTCCTGACTCAGCCTTCTTTCTGTTTTTGAAAAACACCAAGCTCTTTCTCAACTCAGGTCCTTTGCATTAATGTTCTTTGTCAGGAATGCTTCTCTCCCAATTTTGAGCATGGCTGACTTTCTCACATCATTCAGACCTCCAAGAGAGACCTTTCCTGGCCACCTTACCTAAAGGGATCTTTATCCTCTTAAGTGCCTTCATAATACATGTGTTAGTCTATAATTAATCATCTTGTATATTTATTTGTTTATATTTACTGTCCCCCTCAAGCATGTAAGCCCTGTGAAGGTCTGTCTTGCTTCTCTAGATCATGGCATGTAGTATCTATTTGTTGTCAGTAAATACTTCTTTATTTCTTGAGATTCCTGGGTAGTGGACACAGAAGTTTCTTACTTTTGGTAAGGGGGCTAATGATTTATAAGGCTGCAAGTAATTGAGAAAGAAGCAAATTTATTTTAAAGACGGAATGAGATTATAAGTAAATACAAGGATGGAAAGGTAAAATCTAAACGCAGACTGTTAGGGAAGCGTTACAGCGGAGTGCTTTAATATACTTTTTCTTGAGGAGTTCTGAGAATTTACAGATATGTGAAATTTTTATGTGGTAAAAAATTAAAATTACATCTGTGGAAACCCAGTGGTGGGAAATGTGCTAATCTTGCAAAATTTATAGTATGAACACAGCTGATTAAAAAGAATTAATTTCAATATTTAAAAATCAGTTTCATTTAGTAGTGTCGAATTAACTTAATATAAATTTTATGTCTTTTTTGTATTTTATAATTTTGGTATTTTGTAATTCTTTGAATACATTTTTGCCCTACTCTTAGAAATTCTTACGTGATATTTGGAAATGTACATCTATAAAACAATCAAAAGTAAAAGGACTAATCTTTTTCATCCCTTATTTTCAAAATTATTTAACGTGTAAAAATCTAGTTCATGTATAACTTTTTAATAATTTATTTATTACATAAAGCAGGATTTTATGATATAAACCCCAAAAATCAAACCTAGTGCAGTCAAGTGCGTTCCAACTCCTGGCAACCCCGTGTGGACAGAGTAGAACTGCTCCATAGGGTTTTCTTGGCTGTAATCCTTATGGAAGCAGATCACCAGGCCTTTCTTTTACAGCACTGCTGTATGGGTTCCAACCGCCAACCTTTAGGTTAGTAGCCAAGGGCAAACTGTTTGCTCTACCCAGCTCCACCTTTGATGGCTATGTTACGATGCAAAATGTAATAGAGGATGTTGAGTTCCTACGTAGTACATTAAGTAATTGTTTTTGGACTCAGGGCTTTGAATTTTCTTAGTAGCTTATACCAGGAACGTGATTTAACCAGTTTATATGTATGTAGCTAGTATATCAAGGATATATATTAGTATGTTAATATTCTCATTTGTGTTGGATTCAGTAACACACTTACTAATATCTGTTTCTTCCATCCTTCTCTTTTTTTTATGGTTTCTTTGTTTTCAGGATCAATATGCATAGAGTTCGTAACGTGAAAAAATCTTTTAAGCCTCAGACTTCTTGTGTGACAAGTGAATATGAAAAACAGCTGGATTATTTGCCTGATAAGCTAAGAGCAAAGCTGCTTCCTTTCCAGAAAGATGGCATCACTTTTGCCCTTAGAAGAGATGGCAGGTAAAATATTTTTTTCAAGACATGCTGAAAATGTTAATTTCCTGGCAAGTGTATAAAAAAAGAAATGTATTTGAGTTTGTGTGTTTGCATTTAAACAATTTCAAATTATAATCTTAAAGTGGAAGGTAGTCTTTTTCCTGTGATCTGCATATTTATATGAACATCTAGGCATGTTTTCTGAGTATCAGGAATTAGAAATTAGAAGATTTTTTCAATTCACAACAAAGAAAAAGGGAATTTTAAGGAATATTTGATAAAGGTCCTGAATGGGACCTTTGGTATGGTAATCAGGTGACAGGTCAGAGAAAAACACAGATTCTTATTGGTTGATGCACATGTTTTAAAAATCTGTGAAAACCATTCTTTTTGTGCCTACATAGTCTTTCATTAGTAGGATTGATTGTATCTAAATAGCTTCATCCATTTACGAAGATTGACATATTACAGGTTAAAATATATTGACATAATTCTGATTTCTTCAGATGGTATCTTTGGTTACCTTGAATTTTTTGGTCACTAGATCTGTTCAGCTTCTCATACATTGACAGTTTTCTACAATGTGTTGCTTTTACGTATGACTAATCTCCACTGCATTCATCCCACTTTTGATAGCAGCCTCTGGGTTGCCTTGCTGTTTCCACTGCATTTATATTTGTTTGCTTTTTTTCAAACTTCATAATAGCTGTATGATCTCTTCTATCAAACTGAGCCATTACGTGGTTTTCTGTATTTATAAGGATAGCATTACATCTTGGTTACATAGTTTCCTAGTCCAATGTATCATACACTTTCCTCCAATATTTTATTACAGAAAAATTTTAAACATACAACGTAGTTGAAAGACTGTTACAGTGAACACTTGTAGACCCACTACCCATAGTTTTAACATTTGATTATGCTTACTTTATCACTTATTTATCCATTTAGCCATCCATCTATCCACCCATCACATCAATCCACCTTGTTTTTTTCATTTATCTCAAAGTCAATTGTAGACATTTTTATAAACCAAACCAAACCAAGCCCATTGCCATTGAGTCGATTCTGACTCATAGTAACCCCACAGGACAGAGTAGAACTGCCCCATAGGGTTTCCAAGACTGTAATCTTTACGGAAGCAGACTGCCACATCTTTCTGCAGCGGAGCAGCTGGCTGGTGGGTTTGAACCACCAGCCTTTTGGTTATCAGCCAAGCGCTTAATCACCGTGCCACCAGGGCTCCTTAGACATTATTATACTTCTCCCTAATTACATCAGTATGAATATGATGAACCAGAATTCATATTTACAGTTTTATTTTCTGATGATTTTAGATTAATGAAATGCAGAAATCTTGACAAATGCAAATCAACTCCCACCCTCACAATCAACCATTGATCTGATGTTTTTTAAACCATAGATTTGTTTTGTATGTTCTGGAACTCATATACATGGAATCATAGTATGTACTGTTTTTGTAAGACTTCTTTCACTCAGTGTAATATGTTTGAGATTCATCTGTGTTGTTTCATGTATCAATAGTTTGTTCCTGTCATATACACTTGTGTTTACAGGTATTTATTTATACACGAGTGTATATATCTGTTGCTTTTCACTTTACACTTGCATCTTCCCAATCTTTACAGCCTGGACATGATTTTTGTTGTCGTCATTTTTGCTTTTATAGAGTTAGACCATGTCTTAGTGTGGGTTCTCTAGAGAAGCAAAATCAGTGAAGCATATATATAAGTATATGTAGAGAGATTTACTGCAAGGAAATGGCTCATGCAATTGAGGAGGCTGGCAAGTCTCAAATTTGTGAGTCAGGTGGCAGGCTGGAGGCCTCTGTTGGCTCACCAAGTTGTAGGTTCTGGCGAATCCAAGATCTGCAGGTCAGGCAGCAGGCTGGAGGCCTCTGCTGGCTCATGTGGTTGCAGGGGCTGACGAGCCCAAAATCTGCAGGTCAGGCGGCAGGCTAGAGGCCTCTGCTGGCTCATGAGGTTGCAGGGTTTGGCGTATCCAAAATCTGCAGGTCAGGCGGCAGGCTAGAGGCCTCTGCTGGCTCATGAGGTTGCAGGGTTTGGCGTATCCAAAATCTGCAGGTCAGGTGGCAGGCTGAAGACTTCCACAGGCTTATGTCCCAAGAACCAGAGGTCAGGCGATGAGAAGAGTGCAGGGTCGAGAGGGAGTGAGCTTTGCCAGAACATCCATTTATATACTGAAGGCAGGCCCCCCCGCCCCAAGGAAACTCCCCTTTCAGTTAATTGGCTGCTCACATCAGATCACAAAATGGAAGGTGTCTGCCAAATCACTGAGAATCATAGCCTAGCCAAGGTACCACATAACAGACCAGTTGTACTCTCCCATTCTATATTCACATTGTCAGCGGACCTTAGATTTCTGAAGTTATTGATCACAATCTTTGTCAGCTTCTTTTTATACTGTGTCTTCAGGTGTTAAGATGGCAGTGTAGCAGAGTAAAGAGAAGATACTCTTTAGAGTCGGACACCCCTTGTTTAAAATCTGAGCTCTTCCACTTGCTATTTCTGTGATGTTGGGCAGGCTTCTTTAACAATTCAAATGTCAGATTAATCAACTATAAAATGGCCATTATAATGCTTATAACCACAGATACTAAAGAAGACTGAGTTCCTCACTAATGCTTAGGTAAAGTACCTTCTTCCTTTTCGTTTGCTGATCTTAGTGATTTCCAAACATTTATCCTTGGATTGTTGACCAACCCTAACAAAATATGAATGTTAGTAGCAAAATCAGGAAATAACAAGTATGTAGTCAAATGGGGAAAAAGGAGTGAGTGAGTTCTTTGTAATACTAAATTCATTCAGTTTAAAGAACTTCCATTTATTTTGATCTTGGATCATCCCTGCTGTCTTGGGTTAGAATTGTCCTTTCATTTATGAAAACATGATGTTAGTAGCTAAAAATTTTTATCACCAATAAAAATTGGCAATCTTGTATTGGTTTCCCATTTATATTTATTTTTTAAGTGGACCATGAAATAATAATTTCAGGTTATATCGTGTTTTGCCCTTATTAAAGTATACTTTAGCTGGCAATGCAACTCTGATAGTCTTTTTTCTTCCTTAGCATTTTGACGGTTCTATTCTACTGTCTCTGGCTTCCATTGTTGCCATTAATAAGTGTGCTTTTGAATCTCAAAATATCACTCAACAGATGACTTATTGATTGCAAACAGAAAAATTAGAAAGCAGTCAAGCTTGACATCACTATATTGTGACCACCTGACATAACGTGCCTCCTGATGTATGCACAGGAAGTATGTGGTGTTACCTAAGCAGTGTTCTTACTGGAAATATTTGATCTGGTAGTCATAAGGAAATAGTCAAATAGTCAAACCAATCCAGAATGTGGGACATTTTTATAGGACATTCTTCAAAGAATTTCAAGTCATGAAAAACTGAAAGAAGTGGTGGGAATATTCTAAATTGAGAGAGACCTGAGAGATAGAACATCTGAATATTATGCATGAATCTTAATTAGATCCTGGATCAGTAAAAAGAAAAGCTCCAGGAAACATTTTTGGGACAACTGGGAACATTTTGGCATGGACTGTATTTGGACAATGTTATTGAATTAGTATTGATTATCTTAGATGAGTTAAGGGTGTGTTGGAATAGAAGATGTCCTTGTTCTTAAGAGATTCATGATAAACAATTTTGGGGCAAAGGATCGTGATATCTGCAGCTTACTTTTGACATTTTCCCAAAAGGGAAAGTTGGGTATATGTTTAGAGACACTCTGAATAGGTGTTCTGAGATGTTCACAGTGAATCTGGGTGACCGGTATCGCCTATTGTGTTTATTCCTGTTGGCTTTTCTGTGGGTTAGAAAATAAATAAATAAAAGGAATCAGTCCAATTCTTTTTGCTTTGTAGGTCATCTGTCTTTTATCTGTAAATGATCTTAAGATTTTCTGCTTGTCTTTGAGTTCTTTAGTTTCATTACAGTTCAGAATGGTTTTATTTGTACTGTTTGGGATTATGGTGCAATTTTTATCTGAGATTTGTGTCTTGAATTCTGAAAAATTTTTAGCTCTCATCTCTTCAGATATTGCTTCTTCCTCATTCTCTTTATTGTCATCTTCTATAATTTCCAATAGACTTATACTTGACCTTTTTACGATGCCCTATGCTTTGTTAGTGTCTCATATTTTCTCTCTGTATCTATACTAAATTATGACTATTCTTTTTGTTTGTTTATTGTTGTAGTTTAAATGAAGTTTACATTTCAAGTTACTCTCCCATACAAAAATTTATACATACATTGTTATGTGACCCTAATTGCTCTCCCTATACTGGGACAGCACACTCCTCCTTTCCACCCCTGATTCCCCATGTCCATTCAACCAGCTCCCAACCCTCGCTGCCTTCCCATCTCACCTCCGGACAGAGCTGCCTGTTTAGTCTCTTGTATCTAATTGAGCTAAGAGGCACACTCCTCACAAGTATTACTTTATGTCCCACAGTCCAGTCCAATCCCTCTCTGAAGAGTTGGCCTCAGAAATTGTTTTAGTTCTGGGCTGATAGAGAATCCAGGGGCCATGCTTTCCGGGGTACCTCCAGTCTCAGTCAGACCATTAAGTCTCGTCTTCTTACTAGAATTTGAGTTCTGCACCCCACCTTTCCCCTGCTCCATCAGGTACTCTCTGTTGTGTTCCCTGTCAGGGCGATCATTGGTGGTAGCCAGGCACCATCTAGTGCTTCTGGTCTCAGGCTGATGAAGTCTCTGGTTTATGTGGACCTTTCTGTCTCTTGGGCTAATACTTTCCTTGTGTCTTTGATGTTCTTCATTCTCCTTTACTCCAGGTGGTTGGGAACAATTGATGCATCCTTAAATGGTAAATTATGGGTATTTTTAAAAGATCTTTCTTATGGGTCATGATTCAACCAGTCTAATTTGCTGTTTAACTGACATTCGGTTGTGCAGATAATCAGTGTACAGCTTAATGATTTTTCATGGTATAACCATCACCAAGATCAA